ACTAAGTTCTTCTTTTGGTTAGATTAATGATAAAGAATCATTTTCACATCTTTGGAATCTCGTCGATCTTAATTGATCAAGATAAAATTATGCTAAAATAATAATGATGAAACAATGCAGATGAAATTGCATTGACTGTGAACTTCCTGAAAACAGGGGAGACATCCAGTCATCCTAAGTACATCAGGTGTATTTGTGGACATTCAAAAATGCTGTGCAGATGTAAGCTTTTAAGAAAGTATTGGACTGCAATATTTGACCTGTATTTGGCTCTTGCTTTTGTTGGTAATTTTTTAATTCTATGCATAGTTGTTTGAGGGGTAAATTTTATGAATGTTTCTGGTTTCCAAAGGGCAGTTCCTCCCGGCAGCCCCACCAGCCATGAGTGAAGGGCCCCTGGGCCACACATCCTTGTTTTCTGCACACTTAATTCTGCCCAAGCAGCCCCGATCACGTTCTTCTACCACACACGTTTCTTTAGTGGGGCAGATCATTATTCAGAAGACCCCTGAGGAAGTGATCTGACAGGAAGAATATGGGACTAGCAATAGCCCCACAGAAGTATTTGACATTTTGCACAGCATAGGGAATGTGGAAAGGAATTTGAAAGATAAGCTCTTTCCACTTGGCAGATCTCCACATGTCCCTGTTTTGTGGGATGTGAAACACAGAAGTCGTAAAGCAGCATGGCAAAGACCTATCTTCCATCTGAGCAGGGGAACCATCAGAAAGGAGGACTTCATCCTGTTCTGCTCCTTCCTGGCGTGCCTTGGTCCAGTGGGCAGCCACGGGGAGCAGACTGCTGGGAGGACACCTCACCCACAGCAGGCTCTCTGCAGCCCCAGCAGGGAGCCCGCCATCTGTCCTGCCGTGGGAGCTGGCCTCCGTGTGGAGAAGGGCTTCTCGGATTCCAGCACCTGGAGGAGGCTGGCCCCATCCCTCCACTTCCCCCTCTGGCAAGAGCACCGTGCATCGTAAAGTCCTAGTGTACTTTAGGACTTAACATCCTCTGTAATATTGACTCTGGGGGTTCTGCTTGCTGGAACTCCTGATGGGCTCCTAAAGGGAAATTTCAGTACTATTAATTGTTTTAACCCATCCTGAAAAGATGCAGAGATGCTTAGAGCATCCAGAGATATTTGGTCTAGGGATTTCTTTGTAGTACTTTTGCAGTCCTTCTGGGCCGTGTTTTCTGGTTTTTTTAATGCTGCTCTCTGCTCTTGAGTGGGGTGTGCAGGTCTCCCAGGCTGTGCTGGGGACTGGGCGGCTTTTGGGTTGTAGGGACTCCTGGGAAGAGGCTGAAGGACCCACTCCCAGGTTTGACTTGGTTTCTGCTCAGCTTCTCTGTGGTTTCAGGAGTAAATGCCCAGGGCCTTCCAGGTGCTCCTCCCATACCTCTGGGTCCCCTACTTACTGTTACCCATGGCAGTCACCTTCTGTGAGGGACCAAGACCCGCAGGGTGCTTGTCCTTCGAGATCTTGGGGCCACATTCCTCAGCTTCCAAGCAAGGCTGCCATCATGGCCAACTTCCGCCGTGTGACCTCGGGGGTTAAGTGTGTCTCATGGGAAGAAAGCCCAGGACCTGGAGCTAATCTGCTTGACCCGAGGACACCCAAGGGGAAGTGCAGGGAAAGGGACAGGCACTTCACAGAATGTACCAGCTCCTCCCGTTCTATCTGAAACAGATGAGATGGAGCTCATCGATGGCCCAATGTGTCCCAGCCAGGGGAGGAGGGGACAGGCCTCATTAACGCCCTGGATCTGGAGCCAGCCGTTTGCCGTTGGGGCCCACGGGCTGCACAAATCCTTTGATTTTGCCGAGAGGCCCAGATGTAAAGTGAAATCCCCCAGGAAATCATGACATTGTGACGAACCTTAAAGAAGGGAGGTCCCCTATGAAGCTGTGACTCTGAGTTGCCAGTAGAGGCACGCAGAGCAGTGTACAGCAGCCAGATAAGATGTCCACTTAGAGCTTTTAGTTTAACCAGCTTTTCCAAAAGCATGCATTATAGCTGCTTATAAAGGACACACAGCACACGAGTTGTATTCTTTTTTAAAAAATTTTTTTGTAGTAGTATATGGAAGAATGCCTATATGTATTTGTTTATTTCTATGTGGTGCTGAGGATCGAACCCAGTGCCTCATGCATGCTAGACAGCGCTCTACCACTGAGCTACAGCCCCAGCTCATGAGTTATATTCTTATTAGTAGTGGGCCCTTGAATCACAGCTGGGATACCCCTAGATGTCAGGGTGAAATTCTATTATAAAATAGAAATTGTAAAGGATCAGAATAGTGATATTTTGAAAGAAATTTTATTCAGCAAAGTAAACATGCAATTATGATTTTTGTTTGTTATTCTGAAAATTAATTGATCTTATTAAAGCCATTGACATGAGATGCCAGCCCCACCAAAATGTGATACAAACAATCATGGCTTTAAAAACATCTTTTTTTCTGAAAAGATGACTATACTTTAGATATTCTAAGAATTATCAATTCTTTGGAATTGCCTCCTAAAGACAAAATTGGTAATAAAATTTCCTATGTGAATGAAGAAGTTAAGAATTTCCTATGTGAATAAAGCTACAGATACATCTGGTCCGCCATTTAAAACAATCCATGTGTGACATACAGTGCAAGCTGGTGTGTGGGGGGGACCACTCTCGTCCTTTCTCCTCTCAGATTCCTGAGTTTCTGTGACTTGCAGTGTTGTCCAGGCCAGCACTGCCTGTATGTCACCCACACAGGCCACTGTAACAGAAGCCCAAGAAGCAGTTTGACCCCAGCATGGCCACTGTGGCCCAGAGTCCCTGCAATTAAGGCGTCCACTGACAGCTTATGGGAATAATCCCAGAAAGTTCATTTTCATAACCTCCTTCAAATTGAATAGAGATAAGCTTCTGAGATTTTATCAACATTTCAGAAGAGAAAAACCCAGAATTGTCACATAGCCATTTTTAGCTTTAGTACTCCAATTCTCTGCAAGTTCCATGTTTCAAAGAAACTACCATTGACTTAGGAGTAGAAACCTCATATCACTTTGAGCTATTATTGAGTTTCTGCCAACTACATGTGGGTAACTGGAGGGCCCTTCCTAAACAGAGTCTGCAGATAACTGAGTTCAGATAATTGGTTGATTTCTCCCACTAGGTCTGTAGGAATAGAATGAAGTTTAGCAGAGTTGAAGGAGCAGAGATGTGTTTCTGAACCTGCTGCAGGGCAGAAATGCTGTGGGGGAGCCCACAGTCCTGGAGAGGAGGCTGGCTGGGACCCGGGTGGCCTGGGGCTCTGGGAACCCGAGTGATCTGGGGTTGCCTTACTTTCTGGGCTTTTCTGGTCTGAACACTAACCAGGTTATTAACTGCTTATTAACTTATGATTTACCTGGTTACCTACCAGGCAGCTCCCGCCCCAGCTCTGGGGTACCCCAAGGGCTCAGGTGGAGTGGGGAGTCATGTGAGAACCTGTGGGGAGCCTCCAGCACAGGCACAGTCACCATGCCATGGGGACTAGGGGGTGAGAGATGGTGGCAGCTGAGCCAGGCTATTAAAGTCCCCCAGCACTCGTCTGTGCTTTTTGGATGAACCTCCTGCAGCACAGGTTGAAGATTTTGGCCTTGACTCTGAACGACCCTGAGTGGTCACTAGGACCCAGATGAAGCAGCCAAACTGCGCATGTGCAGTGGTCAGAATGTCAGAGGCTCTGAGTATCCTAGAGCTTGGCTGATAGTGAGTCACAGCAGGAAGCAGATCCCTGATCTCGGGAGTTTGTTTGGACTGTGGTCAATTGTCCCCATTTCCAAAATATAAAATTAAAAACAACTTACTGTTTTGGAGGCACTTGTTCAGATTTAACTTCATGAAATAAGTATCTCCAGATGTAATTGTTTCATGCAGAATATCTCCATGGCAATGGGCTACACTTGAGGGTATTAAAAATATGATGTCCCGTGGGCACAGTGCTATGAATAGCATTTTATTCTCAAGAAACCATTATCACCTGCAGCAGAATGTGGGCATGAACTTCAGGCATAAAGTGGCCTCTGATTAAGCTTGTGAACCATGTTGTTCCTGTCACACGCCTTCCTGTTCTCTCCACAATACTTGTATCTACAGGGTTTAAAACTTGGATTCTTTTGGGGAACGTGCAGGCCTGTGGGTGCAGTCGCTCATTGACATGATGGAGGATGAGCTGGGCTCTCATTTCAGCCATGTCCTGGCAGGTTGTACTGAGCCTCCTAAGTCAGTTTGCACACCTGTGAAATGGGGGCAGTAGGACCTGTCTGAAAACTGTTGTTCGGCTTGTTAAAATAAGATGCCAGCTGACTGTGGCACCTGGCGGACACTGAATACACGTTAGTTCCCTTCCTCTAAAGGGGTCATGGTGTCTTTGGATTCTTTTCCTTGCATTTTCACCATTGATTTTTATATTAGAAATGAACTATATATTATAAGAACTTTTTCTTGTTGACTGTTCATTAATGAGTATTTAAACTTTAATTGAATTAAAAAACAATTCTTTAGGATTTGGGCTTTAAGATCAGCCTGTTCATTTATTCTCTCTCTTTGTGCAAACATTTTTTTTTTTTTTTGCATTCTTTTATGTCCCTGAGAATTCGAGGGACAGAGCATGGAGTCTACCCTGGGGAGCCCTTGATCCCCAGTGGCCTTAGGCCTGAGACTCCCATGCCAGAAGCACAGTGGCCTGGCAAATGCCACCATGATCATTTTCGTGGGAATTAACAAAGGACAGCAGTCACAGTGACATCCCAGGGCTTTGATGGGCTGTACCTAGGATTGCGGTTTTGTCTGTTTGGCAAGAGGTGCACCATAGCAGATGTGTGTTGGCCCATGGAATCACATACACCTGGTGTTCCCCGAGTTGGCAGCAGGCGGGACTTGTCTCATAATGGTGAAGATGCTCAAGGGTGTAAATTCAAATCTTGGCGTCAATTCAGAAGTGTTCTCCTACTTACAGATGTTTTCTTTACTTTCAGGGTGGTTGTGATGGCTCTGGCTGCGGAAAATGTGACTGCCATGGAGTGAAGGGACAAAAGGTAAGTCCCCAGACGTTGACAGCGCCTCCTCTTGGACTGCCTTCACTGGAAACCATTCGAAACTAACACACGTGCTGAACGGTGGGCCTCTCGTGGTAGAGCCTCACTGCTGTCTTCGTGATTCCCCAGAGCAACGCAGGGGGAGCGAAACCGTCTGAGCGTTATTCTGAATGCTAATATTCTTATAAGCTTTTCTCCAGAGATTGTGATAATTACTGGCAATGATTGCAGAAAAAGGGATCTGGATATCTCTTCTTTTTGATTTTGAAGGAACAGTGTCCTGGCAGGACATTGTTTGACTCAAGCATCCTTTTTAGAATCGATGGACAAGAACTAAATTTAGGATTTGTCTGAAAAAAGAAAAACATTTCTATTCAATCTGAGGGACTTCTATTTAAATCAGTCTTTTAAAATAATTTTTTTCATTCATCACATTCTTGTCCCAATTTATTTACAAAATGGTAAACATTTATTTTTTCCCAAATTATAAAATCATACTATATTTGTGTTTGATCAAGCTCTCTTCTCATTTAAGAAACACCCATCCAGACAAAAACTTTTTGTTGGCCTGAGGGTGAAGTCTGGATTTTACACAAGGGACAGAAGCTGTGTCCTGAAGCTGTGTGAGTCACCCTGGCAACCCTGGGTGGCAGTGAGGAGGTGGAGCCCACTGTGGCAGTGCAGCACAGCCTGGGGCCTGCAGGGGGCAGTGTGCTCCTTGGACCACTTCCTGTCTTCAGAGCAGGAAGGAGTGTCTGGGCCAGCAGATCCTTCCTCCTCTCCCTGAAGGGCATGCCTCAAGTTTTATGGGGTCTCAGACCACCTGCGAAATGCCCAGTTCTACCGTATAGGAAATTGTTTAATTTTTTTTCCAGCTATTTGCTGATGTACTGACATTAGTACTTTTATAACCACACTGCCTGGTGGTGGTGCTCTCTTGCCAGGGCAGTCTCTGAATTCAGAGGTGTGGGACATAGCTTGGCACGGTCCCCCCGCATGCTCTGCTCAGGCTCTTACTGGGATTTTCTCTGGCTAGTTGAAGGTGCATTTTCAAGAGTTATAGACGGTGGAGGCCTGTACTTCCCATACTACAAGACTTAAGAAAAGTCCAACTTGAATCATACACAGGAGCACACAAACTAACAAAGACATCCTTAAAACCACAAAAAAAATCAGAACTTTTCAATCATAGCTGGGAAATTTGGGCTCATGTGAGCACTTCCTGTTTCCCTTGTGTCCTTAAAGCCGGGTCTGGAGAGGGCGGTGAGTGTCTCACTCCGCATGGGGGCAGTCCATCACCTGCTAGCCTGGTTCCCTGCTTCCTCCAGCGGCCCGGTAGTGCCTCTAAGACTCTCCTACTGTGTACATACCTATAAATTGATTTGTAGTCCCATCCATTTGACCCTGAAGTCTGTCCATCCAAATATACCAAGGACAACTTGTTGGAGTACAGCTTTCTCAGCAGTTTTGGCTGCTGTCCTCTCAGCCTGGTGACCGACACAGAGCACGTCCACACAGAGCTGGCCACAGGCTGCAGAGGAGGCTGGGCACAGTGGGCCACCAGGGGGTCTTGAGGGCCTGCTCTGAGAAGAAGCAGGTCCCCTGCATTTCATTTCCATGTTGCTGACCTACAGCGGGGGGACACTCTGAGGCCAGGCCTGTGCTGATGGTATGCAGAGGCCCTGCGGGGCTGCGTCCTGTGGCCGGGAGGCCGAGGAGGCGTGTGCTGCCTGAGAGCTGTCCTGAGGCTGCGCTGCTTGCTTTCTTGTGATGAGGTTTCATGCTGGCCTCCTAGTGAGACCAATGAGCGCCTTGGAATTGGGGAAGCCCAGCGCTTCCTCTAAGACCCATGGAAGGTGTGGGATTGTGCCCTGCCCCGCGGAACCCAGCCCCATCTTCTCCACCTCCCACTCTGTGATTCTATTGGATCATTCAATAAAGAACACTTGAAACACTGGCGACCCACAGGTTCAGCCGTCTGGAATTTGCGTGTTGGAGACTGGAATTACCAGTGGACCCTGAAGCCTCCTGGAAGCACCTGCAGTCGCCAGGTGACTCTGTTACACGATCTCAACAAAGCCATGGCGCGTTCTCTTCTCGTCTCGAGTGTAGACAGTCCAGTCCTGTGCTTCACCAGCACCGAGAGCGCACAGAGGCCTTCCTCCCGCTGACCGAGGGAATTTTAAACTTCCACTTACTGTCTCCATGGCCTGGTCGAACCATTGCTGTGGAGACGCGAGGCGCCTGGTTCTCTTGAGCTTCAGTTACAGACGGGGTTCCATTTCTGTCATCCTGACGTCACTGCCAAAGGCACCTGCCCCAGTGGGCAGCATGAGCAGCTGGTCCCCTCAGCTCGTGGCCTTCCCGCCATCCTCAGAGCGTTGGAGTCCTGCGCTCTGGTCCCGTGATGGGGTGTAGCAGGAGGCCTGCGAACCGGTGCTTGGTTGGGTCCCCAGGGGTCTGCTGATATTCTCCAGAGTCTGCAGATTCAACTCATTTTGATTTGTTTTAAAAAATAGGATCGGGGAGATAGGTAGCTGAGGCAGAGTTGGAGTCACCTATCGGGACAGTGTTGCAGCCTGGGAAATGCGGAAATCATGGTTTCTGAGGCTGCTTTCTCGTACCCCTCTGAGGAACATCTTAACAGTGTTACTGACAACCCGGCAGACCCTGCCCGGGAACTGGAATATCTGCACTACGAATTGCCACCTCTTTTGGGGTTAATTTCTGCTCTCCATGGAGATGGCGTTGATGGACAGAAGCCTCAGGCTCTTGAGGGGCTGTGAACAGACTTGATGTGGCATCAGGGCTGACTGTGATCTGCTTGTTATCAAGTCATCAATCCCATGTGAGGCGGCTGTCCTGAGTGCAGCAGTCCAACTCATCAGGCTTCTCCTGACTTCAGAGGCTCAACTGTCTCTTCCCACTTGCCTGCAAGGCCCCTCAGGCTTTCAGATGTTTTCTGTTAGGTAATTAGTGTGGCCTTGCACACAATGGCCTTGTGTCCCCAGAGGCTGCAGCTGTGCCCCCAGTGGGAACACTATCTACCTAAACTGATGAGGGCTCTGGATGCTTGCCTGCTCAGAAATGGCCATGTTAAGCTCTTCTTTTGCTGCTAACCTGATTTTCTCAGCTATTTACGATGGTAGGGAAGGCAGCCCCCTCGCAGGAGTTACGCCGTGTGCTTGGAAGTTAAACATGAGTATGTTGCTGGAGTAGAGTTTGTGCAAGAAGTCTTGTGTACCCATGTCTGTCTAAGACCACCACTATCTTCCACAACCCTGGAGGGCTCAATAAGGGGACTTAAACATGCTCATGAAATGAACCACAAGCTGAGAGGAAGTATCAAATTCCAGGAGAAGCAATTGAGAAAAAAATGCTCTGCTTGTTCTGAGGAAGGAGTGGTTCCATCGAAGAAAGGGACAGCTGGAATCAGAACTCAGAGGGACAGCAGCAGAAACCAGGCCATGGGATACAGATGAGGCTCAGTGGTAGAAAACATTTGCCTAGCATGCATAAGACCTGGGTTTGATCTCCAGCTCTGCAAAAGCCAAACAAATACCTAAATCTTTAAGGGGAGGGCATTTTGACTTGTGTCAAGACATGCAGAGATACCCCTGCAGTGAGGATTGGTGTCCTCATTCCTTCTGCCCATGGGAACCTCTGGCATGTACTCTGTCCTGTAGGAAATTTGAGGCTCTAGGTTAAAGTTGGTGACCTCAGTACTTACTGGGCATGTCTCCTTGACCTACCCAGCAAGCAGCAAGGATGGCAGCATTGCTTATGTGTTCTGGACACAAGTCCAAGGTCACTGCCGTCAGTTGCTCCTCAGCCCCTCCCACATCCAGGAAGGTCATGGTCCTCTTGCTCTTCTCAGATCATGGGTCTATGGTGGGTTTGCCCTGTCCGTCTTTGCAAATAGATTCATTCATCCACATGTGTTTCTCCGTGGTTCCTTTAGGCAGTTTTAGAGGCACAAAGCAAGCATTTCTGGGCCTTGCTGCTAGGGACATGCCAAAATAGGAGAAAACACCTAGAAGGGGAAGCTGTGGCTCTCACCTCGTCCAGGTACAAGGGGCAGGGTTTCCCCTCTCTGGGATTCTGTGTGCGGCTCCAGAGGTGCGCAGTGCCCCGGGGATGGGAGACGTTCCTTGCTGTCCTGGTCATTTCTATGCTGTAGTGAAGTGACTGCACAACACCTCCAAGTCCAACAGGGCTTTGAAGGTAAAGGATCTTGCTTCTCCTGAGATGAGATCACAGACACAGGGTGCTTCCTTAGTTAACATTAACTCTTCCTTTTTGAGGCAGGGATGAGTGTATCAGTATTTTTAGAAAAAATTCAGTAGTTTTCAATTTATAAATATTTTTTATCAATATTTCTTTTAATTTATACATGGTTAATAGTAGGTATAATTTTAGCTATGATTTCACTATGAAATAAAAATACGGTGCTTTGTAGGTATACTTTATAGACAGGTGATTCTCTTTATTATTATTTTTTTTCTGTGTAGAATAGATTTGGATCATGAAAGATCAGTAAAGAAGATTATCTTTCTGTTTTTCAGTAGAATATTATAATTTTTTTCTCATAAGTTAACTGTATTAAGCATGTGGTTTTAAATGCTGAAGGTATCCTGTTTTTTCCTAGATATTAAATTCTTTTCACTAGAAAATGAGAGTATACCTGTGTAGACTCTTAGAAACTTTAGGTAAGTTGACTGATTTGGACGAGTAACAATAAAAATAGTTATTACAAAGATTTATTTAATAAACTCTTACTGTGTGAGAGGCCCTGCATCTGAATCGAATCCACAGTTTCAAATTCTAGTGTATTTCAAAAGAAATTCTATCTTCTCACTTTCATGGTGTAAAATATATAAAATCAAAGTACACTAAAAGTACAACCGTGTAAATATCCAGAGGCATCTTCAAGCCCAGGATTTGCAGAGTCAGTGCCTCAGCATGTCTGGAATCGCCCCTGGTGTTCTGAGGCCAGTGGA